CCGGAAATGGTCATCACCTTCCGTATACAAGTCCAGTGTTGTTCCACTTCTTGCGGTGGATTGCAACTGAGTGCATATGCCAGTGAAGACTGATAGCTCTCCTGGACAGAGGAATCAGTTAATCTGTTTACATCAATCCCGCGGTGTTACGTATTTCGGGATCATCTAAAACACATACAAATTTTCGCGCAGACCACAGCATGATCTGAGTCAACGAAGGTGGACCAAAAGGACCTGCAGTCCAGTACGCTGCCGCGCCATCTGAAGCTAATTGCAATGTGATCAATTTGAGACCCCGGTTGAGTTGGCGAAGGGAGACGCCACGTTTCAGGGATCGCCTGCTGCGCTGACCCTTGGTGGGGATCAGCTGGAAGTCGTTCAGAAATTCAATTACCTGGGAAGTTGTATCAGCGCCCTTGGGATCGAAGACGAGATCACGAACCGTATAGCGAAAGCTCGGAGTGCTTTTGCTAACCTTCGCCACCTATGGCGGCGGCGCGACATCACTCTCGCCCTGAAGGGTAGAGTGTACAATGCAGCAGTTCGTTCGACCTTACTGTACGGTTGCGAAACCTGGCCCCTAAGGTCGGCGGACTTGAAGAGGCTAGCTACGTTCGACCATCGGTGCCTTCGCAGTTTGGCTCACATATGGTAGGAACACCGCGTGAGTAACGAGCGTGTTCGACGCATTGTTTACGGCCCAGGAAAAAGATCTGAACCACTCAACACCGTTATTTTCCGCACCAGGCTCCGATGGCTCGGTCACGTGTTACGCATGCCAGCCCACCTACTACCGCGACGTGCGTCGTTTGCTCACCGGGGATGTGGGTGGAAGAAGAGGAGGAGTAGCCAAGCGATGACTTGGTCGAGAGGAATGAAGTCCATCACTTCGGAGCTAGCCTCGGTTGAAGCGTCACGGCTCCCTGGTTGGGGTCCAAAAGACGGTGAACACGTTTGGCTGGATACACTTGCTGACATGGCAAGGAGCCGACCTCAGGGGCATTTGTGCTGTGAGTTTCTTTGTCCCTTCCCATCCCTTTTAGTCTCCCCCTCCATCTACGGTCTCATTTCGTAGGGTAAAACATAAATAAATAAATAAAAATTTCGTTTTGCCTAGTAGCTGGCTGGAAGCTTACCGGAACGATGCCTATCCGTTGCTGGTAGTTCAGCTGGCATGCAACTGTTATATCTATTTTTCCTTTGTGTATTGTGTTATATGTATATATGCATGTATTTCTTTCATGTATTGCTGATGTGTATAATGAATGAATGATGAATGGAACGCTTCTTCGTACGCCTGAAGTTAGTGCTCGAAACAGACGGTTGTTTTCGCACAATGTTATCAGAGCGGTTCTCATGGAGCGCGTGATGACTACCAAGGTGGCGTTCCTATGGTAACAGGCGGCCAAGCCGTGCATTAAAATCTTCCGCAAGGATAATGACATCCAACATTTTAGCATTAGTCAAGAGCTGTTGTAGAGTTCGTCCTTGACCGAGTCATCATTGTAGTCAGTTGGAGCGTACACGGAGATCACAAACTAGTTGCGTCTCTCTTCGCGGTGCCTGTTGGTTCTAGATGAACCCCGAAGCCGAAGTGCACATAGTCGGCTGTTAATAGGGAACCAGTCCAGTAGTGCCGCCTGGGCCTTGCCACTTAGTGTTTTACCTACGCCAGCCAAACCCGCTGAGGCTGCTTCTGGATGTCCAGAAAGACGCAGGTGATATCTGGCTTCGTGGTCAGTGGGGGATGTCAATGTAAGCAGTGCTGGGATCTTGCAAGCAGGTTTCTGAAAGGCAGCAGACATCAATGTCTAGGGAATTTAGGGTGCGCGCTAAACCGGCTTGCTGGCCAGTCTGTATGAGTATCCGGACCTTGAAGCAAGCCAGACGGAACGAGGATCGAGGACGAAGGAGAGCCATAGGTTGAACTCCTTGGTCTGCGGCGCAACCGAAATCGCAACCAGATTTTGGAACACATGAATCGGGTAACGGAAAGTGAGGATTGTTAACAAACAAATAATTGGCGTATGATGAAGTTGCTTGAAAGTGACTAACAGAAACGGTAGCTGATGAGCACGTTGTAATACAGTTCATGGTTTTGCGAGAGGGCATGATACTACCCGGTTGCTCAAGCCGAAGTAGGGAGTTGACTTAGGGGACTCCACCCCGAGCCTTTGGCTAAATAACATACCCGCAAGGCAGCGGGGAGAATTTAGGGAATCGCGCCCATTGGGAGGCATTGACTGAATGTTCAATTCATGCGTCTTTGTTTGGTAGATTACCAAACAGGGGCCCAATACTCCCCATGAAGTCAGCACAAATGCTGGAATACAATGTCCCACCGAGGTGGAACATTGTCGCCGAACACTTTGCTGGAACGGTTTACACCAGAACCACCCAGCTGGCACCACGAGGAGGTAGTTCGGCAAGCCAGCCTAGCGACATCTCACGGCTGCTCGTCTTCAGTACGAGAAGTGTCTAGCGGACGTGGCCGCAACAGCTCCAAAGAAGTGCTTTTCTGATGTAAAGAGGCGCAATGATACAAACTCGTGTATACCAGCTTACTACGAGCGGACGAGACCTGTCTGCATACCGACTAGGATAGGGCTTGTATACTTAGCGAGCATTATACTGATGTCTTTGCTCGTGAGATCTCGCTACCACATGTTGAGCTGGTCACTAAAGTCCAGGAGGATTCTTGCCTAACTGCGAACTACAGGCCTGCCAGCTTGACAAGCCTAACAGTCAAGTTGTTTGAAAGTTGTGAGTGGTTCGGTGGAGACCTCCCTGAATAAATTTAACCTGTACTGCACAATACAGATTTCGTAAGGGTGAGGGTGTTCTCCGAGCTGGTTGATTTGGTTGCAGACGTTTCATCGTCAGGCTAGACGACATTATCAGTGCGGTTTATGCGAGCCACTTGCAGATCCAAGTGATTATTGATCACTTGATTCGAATGTCAGGAGTCTATTGGTCCACGTGAGGTGACCGTGTAGTCAACTCTTGCGTGCTATTAGCTAAAGTCCGAATTAAGTGATCAATAATCACTTGGATCTGCAAGTGGCTCGCATAAACCGAACTGATGATGTCGTCTAGCCTGACGATGAAACGTCTGCAACCAAATCAACCAGCTCGGAGAACACCCGTATACCCTCATCCGCATCCCGAGCTACAAATATTCTCACGGATTTCTAACAGATTTCGTAAGGGATTTTCGTGTCTGACAGATTTACTTGTAGCTCGTGAAAGTTGGGCTGAGGCAGTAAACAAAGGCCACGCTATTGATGCTTTACATCCACTTCTCGAAAGCCTTTGATATGTCCCCCACCTACCGCTTTCATTAAAGTTGATTTCTTATGGGATATCCAGTGGCAGCCTTAAATGGTGGCTGCTTTTTTAATGGGGAATGGACAGTGTGTATGCGTGGGGCGTTGCTTTTCACACAAGCAAGCTCTTAGTGGCACATTCCGCAGTACAGGGTTTTACGACCGTTGCTTTCCGCAAGTTATATTAATGACTTACCACAGGAGCTTGAAACGTCGTCGCCATTGTTTGCTGGTAACCTCAAGCTCTGGAATATTGTGGATATCCCTGGGGGTTCTGAGGCAATTCAGAGTGCCTTGGATAGGCTCTGAGACTGTCTATAAATCAGGCGAAATGTTCTGTCCTACGCATTGGAGCTGATAGTCCCCCCACATGCTATGTTGTTGGTGGGAGTGAACTACCTGTTGTCACTCAGTAGATTGACCTAGGCGTCATCTACGCCTCCGTGTTTCATTCTGGGACAATTGGAGGAAGGCTGCTTGTAGAGGGTTCCGTATGATGTGGTTTATTCGCCGCTACTTCAATGTCCTAACGGCCGATATGTTTGTGAAGCTTCTTAGCTTTCGTGTGACCCCAATTAGAATACTATCTAAGCTTGTCCACGATGTTTTATAAGGAACAAAATAGAACTAGAGAGGATTTGAAAGTGGATACAAGGTTAGTGCAGGGTTTACGGGGGCAAACATATCCTGAACATTTGCTCAGCTTGGGGATGTACTCAATGCACTACCGGAGAATTAGAGACCTGATCTTCACTTACCGCATACTAACTGGTAAGATCGGTCCGGGCTTATCCTGGCTATGTAGTCCCGCTAAAGTGTCTAGTCTCCGAGGTCACCTGTTGAAGCTGCGCAAAATGCGTTCTGGCCGCGCAAGGACGGAAACTCGTTTGTCGCGCCGAGTTATTGGAGGTTGGAACCCGCTTCCAGAGTACGTCGTCAGGGAATCTACGGTCGAGGGTTTCGAGCGTCAGTTAGATGCGATTGGGTGGCAGTACCAAATCTTCCCCTCCTCATAAACGGCTTGCACCTTCAGTAACCTGTTCTTTTCTTCAGCTCTTCGCACACGTTGGTATTAACATTATTTATTTGACATTCCTCTTCTTGTTTTCAGCTTAACACTCACTCTTTTATACTTCAGATAAACCGACCTGACAGGCACTGTTGGGCAGGAAAGGTGGGCAGTAATTGGTTGACCAGGGTGTGATGCGGTCTTTGTGTTAGGCTTTTTAACATCTTGAGCCAACCCATGAATGCCCGGTAGAATGATACGCTGAAGAAGGAACATTCACCGAATTATCTCATCGCTCCGGTCCCGACAGAGTCTGCACTTGATCGGGACAGAAGCCGCAGCAAGCAATGTGAATCCACCCATCAATTTCAGAGTATTACATTGCTCTGGAACGAGAAGTGACACCTTTAAAACAAGAGGAACAATTGGACTTCATGAGTAACTCCGCGACAACTATTCCTACAAGGTATATCGAGGCCAAATGGCTTACAGAAAACGCACAACGAAAACTCAAGACGTCGTCAGAGCGACCTTGAACATGGAGATCGATTGTAGACGCTAATATTTATTTTCAACAGCACCTACCCTACTGAGATAATAGTATGTCCGTTAGCAGATGTTTTAAAATTGAACAGTGGTGGGCATGTGTACGAATCAATACTTACTGGACATCTGCAGTATGGTCCAGATCTGAACGAAATATATAAAATGACAATAAAAATTACACTCGTATTTTATCTCTGGAATTTCCGGTTTAGATATCAGACCATTCGTCAACGCCATCTAGGACCTTAAAGTAGTACGCGTCTAGTCGTGGATTCCGAGAGGTTCCGCGTCCAGAGTGTACGTAGGTCGTAATAGACCTAGGGAGCTGTAATGGAAAGCAAATACCTCGTAGGTGGCTGGATGCTCATATCACAACTAGTAGAAAGAGACCACAGTAAACCAAATATGAAGGTAAAGAGAAGATAAAGAATCAATCGCCGTCTACGCGAGTTACAACGACCTCCTTAACTTAGGGATCACCGCAAAGTCACGCTAAGACCTGCTATACTGTAAGGAAGTATCGAAGCCGGTGTGGCGCGCGGTTGAATCCGAATCATTGCTTTTAGGGCACATTGCCCGTTTGCATTCCAGAGCGCCACTCCTGTGCAGTTACGGAAGAGGGACAAGAATCAGAAAACAGTTAACGGCAACGTTTCTTTCAACCTATTTGTGTTACAGATTTCCTTCTTATAAAGTCTACGTATTGTGTAATAAAAGTTCCTTCTCAACCCTTTGAGTTCTTCCTTGCTTTCATACTACAAAGTGGCGACCCTACCTGGGAACGAAACTTAACAATGCCGAAGAGAATCAATCCCTTGCCAGTAACACTTGCGCCAAAGTTTCCGCATCTTTAGACTCGTTATCCCGTGCTTTAGAGAGGATATCGACCAAGCCATCATTCGCAGTCTGCATACCACCCATGCCCACACCGGAGCACTTTACCGCTGGAATGGCATTCACCAGATGGGAAAAACAAGTTCAGTTATGTATCCGGCACTTTCCAGGTTCACCACAAGGAAGTGTGATTTTGGGATTGCTATCGGATGACGCATTTGATACCGACATGGACAGCAAGATCCTCGAAAGGGAAATCACCACGGAGACATTCGCGACCCTTCGCCACTTTCTCGATCGTCCTGCACCGCACTGCAGAGTTCCAAGTGAGGTACCAGTACCCTGGAGAAAATATTGGCACGTACGTTCGTGAATTACGGAGAAGGATCGATATTGCATACGAGGATGAAACGCCAGATGAACGGGATAAACGAGTGGCGCAGCAACTTTTCGAGGGTATTCACAAGCCGTCCATCAAGAGAGAATTCCTGCTGCACTCTCCCGGGCGTTTGGGCAGACGGGTGAACAACCAGAGCGCCTTGATGCAGCAATGGACATGCCGACATCGCGTTGTCCTCCATGGAAAAGAAACGGATGTTGGCTGAGGTCACAGCAGCGGGGACCAGGGTGCGGTTCACATCACGTATGTTTCGGTCTACGATTGTTAACTTCATCGAGTTTCCGGATGCCCAGACCACAGGCACCGAACCGTGACAATAAAAGACGTCCAGGTGAGTTTGATCATGCACAAACTGAATTCATACCTGCCGTTGTATGCACGTTGACTACAAACTCCGCTTTGACAATAGAATTATAAGTTGCGGGGTACAATTATTGGGCCTCATCGATACGGCGCATGTAGGAGTCATATTAGGTTCCATCTAACTAGACGGCTAACAGACTACGTACGGCCATCTTGCCGCTACTGTCTGACTACGATCATCAACATCAACATTATATACTTTGGCTAGAGATGGAAAACACCTCAGCTACCGAGCCGCTATAAATATGATAAAAACAACAGGTGCAAACGAGCTGAGCTACCAGCAACGGATGGGCATAGTTCCGGAAAGCTACCAGCCGGCAACTGTGCAGCAAAAACAATTTATCAAGCAAAATTTGTACTATGTTTGGAGATGAGATAGCGAAAGAAGGGGGAAGATAAGAGGGATGAGAAGGGACTAGAAACTCAAAACACGAACGCCACTGAGGACGGCTACTAGCCATATCAGCAAGTGTATCCAGCCAAACGTGTTCATCGTCTTTCGGACACCAACCAGGGAGCCGAGACGCTCCAACCGAGGCAAACTTTGAAGTAAAACCCTTTATTTCTTTCGACCAAGTCAGCGCTTAGCTACCCCTTCTCCTCTTCCATCCACACACCCGGAGCACAAACAACGCACATCGCGGGAGTCGGTGGGCTGGTATGCGCAACAGGTGGCCGAGCCAGCGGAGCGTGCTGCGTGAAAGAACGGTATTGAACGATTCAGTTTCTTTTTCTGCGCCATGAACAAGGAGCCAAACATGCTCGTTGCCCAGGCGGTGTCCCTACCAGATGTGATCCAATTTTCGAAGGCACCGGTGGTCGAACGTAACTAGCCTCCTTATGTCTGCTGATCTAATGGGCCAGGTTTCACAGCCGTAAAGGAGAGCTGAACGGACGGCTGCATTGTACACTCTACTCTTCAGGGCGAGAGTGATGTCGCGCCGGCGCCATAAGTGGCGAAGGTTAGTAAAAGCGTCTCGAGCTTTTGCTATACGGTTCGTGATCTCGTCTTCAATCCCAAAGGCACTGATACAACTTTCCAGGTATTTGAATTTTTAAACGACTTCCAGCTGATCCCCACCAAGGGTTAGCGCAGCAGGCGGTTCCTGCCAATCTTAAAGGAAAGCCTTTGCACTTCGAAGGTACAAAGCATAGTCCGGAACAGCTGACAGCTAATGCTAGTTCGTCCAGTGCCGCTTGCCACATTCGGAAGCTGCCAGGTATCAGGGCAATAACGTAAGCATACTCTAAGTCAAGAAATCGTTCGCCTGAAAGCAGCTCCACACCTAAGTCGTGTCCTGTGAACGTGATCATCATGCTCTCGTCAATAGCGAAGATAAAGAGGAAAGGTGACGGCGGGCATCCTTGTCTCACATCATTGGAGATATCGAAGGGCAGGGACAGCTTGTCCTAAGCCCTCACTCAGTCCGAGTTACGCGCGTATAACACTCGGATAATAATTACATATTTCCCGAGCACACCTTTTCTTAGCAGACAGTCCTAAAGAGTAGGTCGATCCACCGAAGCGAAGACACGTTTGATGTCGAGGAACACGACTACGGTGGGCCGCCAAGATATGTGACGGTGCCACCTTCCTACCAGGAAAGCCGAACGCTACTTCAATACTTGGCCTGAGACGCCGTGGGATTCTAGTTTACACAAAAGGCGCTAATGCGGTAGGGTGTCAAAGGCTTTAGAAGAGTCGATGAACAAAACGTCCACCGCCTATCGTTGATCCATAGCCTCAGCCCAGCACACTCGGGCAACCAACATGTTAGTCAAACAGGAGTGATCTCTGCGGAACCGACATTGGATCAATAATTGATGGAACAGAGTAAAGATTTCCAACTCTTTCTTTCCCACTCTTTCTCACTAGTATACGCTTTCAAACCAAATTTGAAGGCAAAAAATTAAGGAGGGAGATTTGGGAGTGGCCAATTTTCGTACCGTAAAAATTAGCCTGGACGAATCATTGGAATGTAGAGAGCAAAAGGAAAGATCTTTGTCAGCCCCATCATCTCCCAATCATAGCAGGTGTTGGCGTGACAGCAATCAACAAGTTATATTGTCACAGTTGCATAAGAAACAACAAGATCCCTGCAAATTCAAGAAGTATAAATCCAACATTCGTTTATAACATTCCTCCGTATGCGCGTTGACGGCGGGATCAGGCAAGCAGTTCCAGTCGTTCACTACACGAGTGGATAGGGCAAAAGCAGAGCGACGCCTGAGTCTCCTAGGTTTAAACAGTTTCCAGCAGTGGCCCCGAGTCGAACACTCAGTGGAAAAAACCTTGGAGCTCGATTCCTATCTCGCCTCGCAGAATGCGCCTCGGCGACGCCGATATGCCATCATCATCATCAGTATACAGGTCAGCTAGAGGTGGGAAAACACCTCCGCTATTGTGCCGCAATACATGAAGGAAATACATACATACATGGTTGGCGGCATCCGGTTTCGGATTTGCCTGTCACTGTGGCCAGTCACAGGACGCCTGCGCCTACAGAGGGACCATGGGTGGCTTGCGCTGCGCCACCCACAGCTCCAACCACACCCATATCCAGTGTAAACCCGAAGGAATAAGACCGGGAGGCATGTGGATGGGAGCCACGTTTCATCAACGGAGCCGGCCCACACTCCTTCACAGGCAAACACAAGCACGCTGTATTTAGGGAATCAAGCGCACACAAGGCGGTGGCTGGACCGTAGTCCGCTCCACACCGACTGCATGGAACCGCTCTTTGAGCCTAGCACGGCCACAAGGACCGTACATCCCGTCCCCTCCAGCAACGACCAACTGTCTCCTGGAGCCAGTATGAACGAGGTAGTGGGTAATAGACAGGTAGGCACCTTGTCAACATGCACATCAAGCGCAGCCACACTGGGGATATCAAGCAACAGCCATTCACTTTAAACGACAAGCTGAAATAATATAAATCCAATAATGCATACAGATACAGTGGCATAACTCTTCCCTAAATTACCATATGAAGTTGGTTAGCAACGAATCCGCGATAAGTAAGAAATGTCCACAATTTACTTAAAAATGCTACAAACGCAACAAAATTACCGAAGATAAGCGCAATTAGCGTAAGCAACGTGGCCAGTTAATAGAACACTATTCAGGTAGGCAGAACAAACCAAATAAAGTGGAATGAAATTTATCCAGCTTAAAAAGACCTAGTTTAAGTGTAAGTTGGTTTAGCCCAACTGCGGTGAAGAAGCATCAAGAATGCAACGTCAGCCACAGCATGGGGCACACATACATATAATACAATACACAAAGGGAAAATAGATACAACAGTTGCATGCCAGCTGAGCTACCAGCAACGGATGGGCATCGTTCCGGTAAGCTACCAGCCAGCTACTAGGCAAAAAGAAAAAAATTGTTTTGCCCTACTAAATGAGATCGTAGATAGAGGGGGAGACTAAAAGGGATGGGAAGGGACAAAGAAACTCACAGCACAAATGCCCCTGAGGTCGGCTCCTTGCCATGTCAGCAAGTGTATCCAGCCAAACGTGTTCACCGTCTTTTGGACCCCAACCAGGGAGCCGTGACGCTTCAACCGAGGCTAGCTCCGAAGTGATGGACTTCATTCCCCTGGACCAAGTCATCGCTTGGCCACCTCTCCTCTTC